GATTTATTTATTTGACATACATTTTCAGTCGTTCATGATATAATTCCATTTTCATTATCACGTCCAATATCGAGTAATTGACGTCATCGATATCGTTCATCAAGTAGAACGAAACGATGTCCATCATCTACTGGGAACATGGTTTTCATTAGTTGATTATTTGATGTATCCAATCATATTCGCTTTAATCCAAGTGCTTATGATCAGAAAAGAAATCTGAAATTCCGATAAATTGAGTTTAAAAAAAGTATTTTTCTTATTAAATTAAAAAAGTAAAAATTAAAAGAGAATTTTAGAAAAAACGAACTCATTGAAGATTAAGTTCTGGTCGATATCGATCAGATTCTGATATTAATAGGAAATTATCTTTTCTTTTTTTCAAATCTTATTTATTCGTCGATTTTTGAAGATATCAGTTTTAAATCCAATGATAACGATCGATGTTCGTTCAAATCACGAAAACATTCAAGATTTTATTCGAATTTTCTTTAATTCTATCCACAAACTAAATTTATTTCTTCTAGTCGCAAGCGAACGAATACTCTTAATCATCATAAATCTAAAGACTCAATTGATTCAGTATGTTATTTCAATCGATACTTAAATTAAAAATATATTTCTTTCAATAAAATATAGAACAAGTGTCATCACCATCAAATTTTCGTAAAAGTACATTGAACAATTGTTTATTGTCCTGAATATTCTCCTTATGATCAACAAAGTGTTTGTTCCTTCGAATGAGAAAATTTCTTTTGATATAAATTCAAATTGTAAATTTATATATATAACATTACAAAATTCTTTCAATGCTGATTATATCATTGATATGGATCAATGTTTAAAATCTTTAGAAAAATTTATAAAAGAAAATTTTTTACATTAAATAATTTGTTTGAAACTGTAGATAGCTTTTTTTTTAGTTTAATTAGGTACTGTATTATTTTATTATTTATTACAAAATAAAAGAGAATGAAAAGTTATTCTCGCCGAAAAATAGATTGATTAACACAAGAATATTTTATTTTTATTGAATCAACAGAGATTACTTATTCAAAAGCAAGAATAACATCTGAAAAGAATAATTTTCCCAACAGATAAACAAAGAATTAATATATCAATACAAGTAAGGAGATTTTTTAAATTTATCCCTAATTTTTGTAACAAATCGGAAGACTTATTATTTTCTACAGTATAGTATTCACAAACAATTAGTTGTAGATATGAATCGAATCGAAATTGTACCAGTCTGATATCAGCCAATTATCTTCTCGAGATACAAAGATTATATTTTCTTGCGAATAAATTTGAAAAAATTTTTTGTCATATGTCGATTCCTACTCTTTTTCTATTTCTCGTCCTGATGAAAACACTTAAAATCTTCAAATGATCATGAAAAATGATCCTTTTACATCAGATAAATATTGTCTGCTCTAACTGATTTACTATTATCTTTTCTTCGCTATTCTCGGTTTCGCTCGATCGCTTGTCAATTTCAATCTTGATAGAACACGTTCTCATCTCCTAGTTATTCTTTTAGAAAGGATTTACCATCGATCAATCGGTTTTCTGTCGACTAGTTATTAACAAAGAATATTATTGCGTTGGTTTAATCGATAATCTCGATACTTTTCATGCAGTAGACTTCAATAAAATACGTATTGTTCTACCAATGTATCGTCATTTAACTGAACCACAATATTATATTGTTAATTTAATTGATACAAATCAAAATCAACTATGAGCATTTCCATGTCTATCAAATATTTATATGATATTTTCGTCTTATTATGAAATTAAATATCAATTACATTTAACAAATAAAACAGAATCACTTCTTTCCGTTTCACAAACATTATGTCGAATGAATCTAATGATTTTTGCGAATCGAAATTAAGCACAAAACGGTCATCGAACAACTCAATCACTGATTTGAACATGAGAATAGTGAGTAGTGATCGTTCGTTCCCTAATCATTTCAATTGAGAGAATATAGTTATCTGATATTCAACTTTCACAAGTGATCGATCGTTCCTGCTCACCATCTAGCAAGAATCAGACTGCCCACTAATTAGCAGCCACATCTCTCACTTCGTCTAACTATTGCTTGTTTCATGTTTTATTATATCACCAGACGGACACAATAAAGTATGTTTGTGGCTTTGCTCTCATTAATTGTTTAGCTTAGAAGAAGAAATGCAAGCATTTTCAAACTTTCGACAACATATTCATCATCTTCTCAATTCAAATTCATCAGTTGGTGATACAACTTCCATTGTCAAACACCTCGAAGATGAAGCGCTAAATCTATGTCTTTCTTTCGACACGAAAATACAATCTCTTCGCGATGATTTACTCGCGAAAGACAATGAACTTATTAAAACAATGCAAGAACGCTTCAATCTTGTACAGGAATTGAATACAACCAAGGATTCTGCACATACGATTATTAAGTGTTTGAACTTATCTCTCAAAGCATCTTCTCACACCATTGCTCGTACCATCATAGAAATGATTGCTCGTGAACATTTACATTCTATGAATTTAACTATTGAAAAACTGATGGATAAGTTTCGTCGTGAAAAAGATTACTCAGTGAGTAATAAATCACCATTTTATTGCGATTAAAAATCTTTCTTCTTCTAGAATCATAACTGGAGTACCATTGATCTTATTAAAGAAGCGAAGAAGAGAACATTTTGGAATACAATGACCGTGGAACAACAAAAAGATGCTGAACTTCTTGTCAAATGGCATTCACAGGGATCGAACAAGAAGAATTTCGTCCCAACAAAAGATATATTAAAACGTATGTGGGAAAAATTGAAACCTACGGACATTGTGACAACTCTCAAACATCCGAAGTACGGCTCGTTTTCTGATAAATATGAACAAATAGAAGTGAGTGAAGAAAAAAAAAAGTAGTTTGAAGCACATTTTTTTTCTCATTCAATCTTTTTCATGGAAATGTGATCGATCATTTTTTTTTTCTTTTTGTAGAAAGCATTTATTAATTTATATCAAACATTATCTGAAGCTGTACACAATTGTGGCCTTTGCTATGAGGAAGACGTGCTTCCAATTCCAGATCTTAATGAGAATATATTTAGTAAATCGGACGCATTAGCACTTGGTAAGTTAAACAATTTCCTTCTTCATGTTTCCTTTTTTTTTTGTAATCTAGCCACTTTTTATTCGATTACATTGCCGAACATGCCATATGAAATAGTGTCAAATGTTGCTAATCTACCTTCAAATTCATCGTATTGGCTCAACAGTGGTGATTTGAAGAATTGCTCGAATACCACCACCACCACGATTGCTGCAGCTAATGAAAAATCGACCAAGCGAAAAATGATTGAAAATGAAGAAAATGAAGGAGATTAATATTGTGAAAGTTTTATTTGTGAAACATAAATATTAAAATTTCTAGACTAGAGCATGTGTTTATTCACTGAAAAAAAATAAAAATAAAGGATTGAAAACAATATAATGACTAAAGTGAAAGGGTTAATCGAGATTTTGAATGCTAAATTTGTAAATAATAAAGGTCATAGAAGGCTTCTGAAAGAGTTGCTGCAGACCATGCTTGTGCAGTACATGAATCTGGACATATATTTCCATCAGCATTTGTTAATTCAGGTAAACCTTTCCAATCATTTGAATAAAATAAATCCATTAATTGAGTTAATAATTTTTTGCAATGTTTAATTGTTTGTTTCAAAATATTTTGATCATTTTGTTGTTTTGACCAATAAAGCTTTGCTCGTATATAATAACCAGTTAACCATAACCATTCAGGACCATTATGATAATTAAACCTATGTGCTCGTTTATAATCATATGAATCATCATTACTAACATACCCACCAACATAATTATAATCACTTTTAGCAGATTATTTTATTTATATAATAAGAAAATAAAAAAATATTTTACCTGGAATCAAGAGTTTTAATTCCATATTTTCCTAAAAAGAATTGTTTCAATTTATTTTAATGCTAACTATATATGAGTTTTATCAAACATTTCTGGAGCCCTTTTAACAAAAAGAATTTTTTTTTTTAAATGAAATAAAATTTTGTACTTACAATAACCGCTGCAATAATAAAATTAGGTCTTAATTGAAAATCAGTCCATCTGAGAGATGAATTAATTGTATCTTTATAAATTTGTCCTCTATTAACATATTCTGATGAATTTGTTTCATCAATCCGAAATTCTTTTTCAAAATTTTCATCAATTTTACTTAACCATTCTGTAAAAAGTAATGTCATTTTTCCACCAATTCCTTTAAACAAAAAAAAAGAAAATTAAATATTTTCAAAATAAAATAAATAATTACCAGTAGATGTTTCAACAGAATCATATGGATAATGTCCTTCTTGATTCATTTGAATAATACAAGCAATAACAGTTCTAGATAATCCAACTAATTTAACAACAGATCCATCTCTTGGTGTAGTTGGCTGTCCTTTATTATTTGCTTTATCACTTGAACCCATTTTATCCATCCATGTTCCAAAATTCCATCTATTTCCTCCATAAACGAAACCAGTTTTAGTATCAATTCCAATTTTATTATTCAAACCTTCATCACTCATAAGTGAATCTAATGAAGGTCAACTTCCATGTTCTCTAAAATTTAAAGATTGAATATGACGAAGAAAAACTTCATGAATAATATCATATAATAATTGATCATGTAATCCAGCTGTTTGTGCAGGACTATCATGTGTTGGATATAAATGTGAAACTTTATCTGATAAAATTTAATAACCATCTGAAACTAAGCATGTATAAGATGATATTGAATATAACCATCACCAAACAGCATCTCTTACATTATATCGTGTTGTTTTTCCATCAGCTAATAAATTAGGAATTAATCCATGACGAAGACATCTACCATATGATAAGATTAAATAACGAGCTTCTTCATATCGATTAGTTAATAAAGGAAGAGTACGTAATGAAATAAATGTATCTCTTCCCCAATTTCTCTAAATTCCAGCAGCAAAATGTGGTAATCCAGCAGCTAAAGGCGGAGTTAATTGTATTTTTTCAAATGTTTGTTCATCAATTTGTTCAATTGGTTTTGGTTCACGTAAATTTGGTAATAATAATGGTAAACGAGCATTTCTTACAATACTTATTAATTGAATTAATGATTGGCTTAAATCTTGAGCAAATATTGATGATGAACGAATAAATTGATTCATTAATGTTAAACTATGTTCTTTTATTAATTTATATGATTTATTTAAAATTAAATCAAAATATGATGAAATGATTAAACGAGATAAATTTTTAATATGATTAAAAATATCATACCATTCTCCTAATTGTTTTGTATTTGAATGAATTTTAAGTCTTATTGATATATAATCCATTAGCCAATTTCCTTGTTTTAAATGAATTATAAAAGAATGTTTAAGATCATTATTAAAACGAATTTTATCTAAAATAGATATTTGTCCTTGAAGACTACAATAAGTAAGTTTTCCATAATTTGATATTGAATAAACATCAAAACCATTTCCATCTGATTGTTCTTCAATTGATGAACGATAAAGAACACGTTCAATATCAACTATAATGTTAAATCTTTTATTATTAAATTAAATTTACTTGTAGAATTTTCAAATGCTTTTAAAATATTTTTTATAAAAATTATTGATTTTTCAATATTTAAAATAGGTGAAATACTTAAAATAACAATTGAACCAGGACGAAAATTTTCCGTAAATTCAATTGTTCGAAAAGCATTATAATCAATTGAATTTAATGATGTTAAACGAATTAATGAACTGTTTTCAATTGAAATATTTTCATTTAAATAAACTTTTGTACGTTGAAGTCCATTTATATATTGTATGGATTTTACAAAACTTTTAATTGATTCTTCATTTAATGGATGGTTAAGTGATGCTTCAATTAATATTTTATCAATAAGACCTTCAATTGATAATGGATTTATACGTTCTCATTTTTCTCCAACTTGAAAAAATGATGTATGAGCAATTAATAAGATTGATTTATGAGTTAATGGATTATAACGAGTTAATAATAATACTGATGCAGATAATTGATCAAACTATTATCTAAATATTATATATAGATTTAATTATCTATAAATATTAAAATAATATCAAACCTGAGTAAAACCTTGTTGAGCAAGATAAACATGTAATTTATTTAAAGCTTTTTTATTGAAATTATTGCTGTTTTTTCATTAGTTTGATAATTTCATTTGGGATAAAATCTCGTTTCATGAACAAGATCGATATAATGTGAAATTAATTCATCATAACCTCTATTTGAACCAGTTGAACAATTAGCAAAAGCAAAAATAGCTGAATATGGAAGAACATCTTCAACAGATCTTCTTTCAATTTGACATGGATTATCATGTGTTTGATCATAATACCATGAATATGGTTTTGTTGTTTCTAATGGTCGAATATTATCGAGAATAAATGATCCTATTGGATCTCCTTCAGTAACTGATGATGTTATTTGTCTAATTCATATGGACCAAATACTCGATACGATTCTAAAAAAAACAATTTCATTTTTAAATTTTTTCTTGTTTTTATTTAACCCTTTCGTTACCATAGTATAAAAAAAGCTACACCTGTTTTTAATTATTTTTCATAGCATAATTCATAAAAATTAGTATGAAATCTCTTGGAAGGAAATAATAAAGAGTATTCTAGAACCTTTCCGGAGTATCTGTGTTACAAGTATCGTCTTCATATCTGTCCTTTTTCTTCTTCTCTTTCCCTGGATGTTATATCTCTCAAAGAAAGTATATAAGCGAAATTGGTTTCGTATATTCATTTACTTTCTTCGAACAAGTCTTTCGAATGCGTTCATCTGTTACAACGATCTGAATCAACAACACATGGCTTATGTTGAATTCCTCTCTTCTATTTCAATGTCACTGATTGGTGATCAAAGTTCACGGAAAAGAAGAGGTAGACCTATTCACTTTGCTGCCCAAAAGTGTAGACGAATTCAACCGACGCCTGGGAACAAATATTTATCAACTCCATTACAAGCACATATGCCTGTTGCTGGACCTAAAGGAAGATGCGGATATTGCAGAACGAAAGCTCGTTCAATATTTAGTAACATAAAATGCAGTTTTTGTGGTATTTCTTTTTGTGTAAAACAACATAAAAATTGCTTTTTGTTATTCCATGAAAACATTCTATAAGTTTTGCAACTAATAAACTTCAGCAGTTAAAATTTCCATTTAAGTATAACAAGGTTCGATATAACTAACATTCAGTAAATCACATGCGAGAACACATGAGTTACTTTTTACATATGTTCCCATTAGTGGTGAATTGAGGGTTTTGGCAAAGACGGGGCCGATCACTTCTTCATCCGCTTCTCAATTCGTTACTGGTCCCTATCTCTAAAAAAAGCTAATTTAATATTTTACTCGATTTCAATTCAGAAAAAAAAATTATGTAACGAAAGGGTTAAAATAGTTGAAAAAATATATCTTCTCATTCAAAAGAACGAAATGCCGAAATATTTATTGTTCGATGCCATTTTATTCTTAGCAATTGTATAAAAATATTGTTCAATTTTTCAGAAATTTTTTTTTTTTACTTATGTGTACGGTCTTAGTCGAAAGAAAAAAAAAATTATTGATAAAGATTAGGAATCATAAACGAACAAACACAGAATGAGATCTCTTTGTCTAAACCATAGTTCCATCACTTATATCAAAAGATATTTGAATCTTTTAGCTCCATCAAATGAATAAGAAGTATCAATTCGTTAATGATCTTCTGATATTTAAGATGATAGAATTTATCAATAACAAATGCTGAAAAAAATGTTAAATGGTATTCATTCGGGATATTTTATTACTTGCACAGTTTTGAGAATATTTATTCAAACAATGACAACACTGCTGAATAGATTAAAGAGCTATATTTCGAAAGTAAAAAAGATTCAATAGTTTTAAGTATTTTATGCAGAAAAGGTCAAGATGATCGTAAAATTATTCGACTATTTCGACAAATCAAATGAATTGTAGTTCATATTTTTATTGACATCTGCAATGACTCTCTGGTTCGAAAGCTGGGTAATTCCATGGGATTTTGGACACATTTACACAAAGTTCTCCGATCGAGCTGGCACTTTTAGGGTGAATAGAGCTAGTTGAGATAATCACTTTGGTATATTTTGATTGAAGGTCTATGACAAAAGTTGAAAGAAAATGAGCGAAACCACTTTTAGTCACTTTATGTATCCTAAGGAAAATTTTGACCTAATGTATGAGATGAAAATTTAGTTTTTCATAATTTCAATTATGTATTAGTCACTCAAAATTAAATTCTATCTATAGATTTCTAGTGACATAACGCATTTAATAGAGCAACTCCCTCTCTACTAGATTCAATATAGCAGAGCTTCTGTTCAAGTCAATTTCGTGGATGTCAGTTTGATAAAAAAAACTATGACAATGATATGCCGATAAAAAGTGGTGTGCATCTCTTTTCTTCACTCACACTCAAACATCGTGACAATTATTAGGCAAAACAAAGTTTATTTTAACTGTTTGCTTACAAATAAACTTTTAGAAAAGTTTTCTTCATAAACTTATAAATATTCATATTTTTATAAAAATCATCAATTTTTCTATTTTCTCTAAAAGTTTCGAATGATATTGATATCAGAAGTAGCAATGATCGTCGTCATATACTACACAATTCGTTTCCATCGTGTGTATATCTTCTCTATTGATATGGAAACATTTCATTTCGAAAAAATAACTTTTTATTAATTGCTAGTTTATGGAGTTCATCACAACACAGTTTTTAAAGTTTTTCAATCCGAGGTGTGGATGTGAACCTGCTCTTCGTATCCTTATCTATACCCACATCCACATCCTTTCATCACAATGTCTGAAAATCATTCAGACGTGTCGAATATAGTGTATTCATGAAGCTTTTTTTTGTTTGAAAAGAGCTGAATTTTAATGAATATGAAATAATAGAATGCAAAAAGTGAACTTTAATCATATTCAGTTCCAAAGCACTCAACTTTCTATCCTGACTGGTTGACAACATAAGAAAAATTCACCTTTTTGCTAATCTAAAGTCATCAAAAATGAGATAATGTCTCGATAGTTTTCTTCTGGAGTAGTCGCAACTTAGACCTATTCAAAAAGTCTCGGAAAACTCTAGAACGAACTCTTCTCTCTTTCTTACATGCTGTTTTGACATTACATTGAACAGATATGAACTATTTGCATAGTGCTTTGTCTCTCGTTATCGATTAATGAATGCTCATTGTAACTTAGTGTTCCAAGTCAACACTTCAAAATCAATCAGATTTTCTTACATCAAACTATATATCTGATCTGCAAAATACAAAAAAATCATTTTATTAGAATAAAAATTGTTTACTCAAATAAAACAACCAAAAAAAGTGGAAACTTTCAGTGCACAATAGACAAATCGAATGTTATGGCCTAAAGTACATACTTGAAGTGCCTCTATAGAACGTAAAGTACGATCGATGCATTACGACTCATTACACTAGCTTCTATACTTTGCTAGTAGAAAAAGAAAACGATCAATACTGATAGAAGAGTACGTCATTTGAATACGTGACTCAAGTAAGCATACGACCTTGTCTATTCTATAACGATAAAGTACGTTATGCTATCGATATAGTATAAATATAGTGCTCTTATTCCATACTGTCCATAAAACGAATATCCATATTTCTCAATTTATAACAAGATGCCTCCTCTTCAAGAAACTAATGAACGTATCAATCAGGCATACACCAATGTGTATCCTGATGAAACTAAGAAATCTAACGACGATTCACAAAGTCAATTTGTTATAGAAATGCGTGGAGATGATACAATACAAGTTCAAATGTCTGTTGATAGTGCTCGAGCATTGGCAGCATTATCTCCACGTATCACTGTTACTTTTCATAATGTTTCAAAAGTTATCCATGTTCCAGCAAAAATGATCGATCCATCATCTAAAGAAAGATTCATTCAATGAAAACTACTTGATCAAGTTTCAGAACAAATTCATCCAGGACAATTATTCGCACTTATGGGACCATCAGGTTGTGGTAAAACAACATTACTTAATATAGTAGCTGGTCGAGCATTAAATGGTGTTACTGGTGATATTTGGTTTAACATATCAACGATATGATAAAAGTATGAAAAGAAAACTAGCTTATGTTCTTCAACAAATAATTTATCTAAACAAGATAAAATAACACAAGTTGAACAAATCATTGATCAACTACGTATTCGAAAATGTGCTGATACTTCAATAATGTTCATATCTGGTGGTGAAAAGAAACGTGTTAATATTGGTACTGAATTGTTGACGAACCCAAGTGTTATTTTTCTTGATGGTAAACGATTAATACTCTTGAATTTTTTTTTTAATTGTAAATGATTTGTTTTAATATTAATGTAGAACCAACATCTGAATTGGATAGTACATCAGCTGTATCATTGATGGATGTTCTTCGTGATTTAGCAATGCAAGGCAAAACAATAATTACATCCATTCATCAACCTTCATCACAAATTTTTCAATCATTCGATCAACTTATTCTTTTAGCAGATGGAAAAACTATTTTTATGGTAAAGTTCATCATACATTGATGCTATCAAAAACACATTATTCTTCTTTCTAGGATAAACCATGTAATGCTCTACCTTACTTTGCAACAATGGGTTATCATTCACCATCACAATACAATCCAGCTGATTATGTCATGGATCTTGTTAGTCAAGATATGAAAGTTCGTGAACAGCTGAAAGAAGAATATCTTCAAAATAAAATAACTAAACATGTGAACACTATATCTAATCTGTTACAATCACAATATTTATTAGCTGAACCATCTGGAAATGAAGCTGATCTAACTAATCCAGATAATGTTAATTTAATACCAAATAAACATGAAAGTAAATGGCCTATTAGATTTTTATCACAAATGTTAATTCTTTTCTCACATGCATTTTTTTTAACTGGTAAAAGACAATTTACATTTCTGAATTTTGCACAAGCATTAGGTTTAGCATTTATTAGTGGTTTATGTTGGCTAAGAATGGATTTTTCTGAACATACAATACCTGATCGATCATCATTTATCTTTTTTCTTATGACATTTTGACCATTACATACAATGATGCATGATTTATTATCATTTCCATTTGAACGTACGGTTATTGAAAAAGAACGTGCAAGTAGATCATATCGTTTATCATCTTATTTTATTGCTAAATTATTAGCTGAAGCACAACTTAAACTTATTTTACCAACATTATTTCTTATAATAGCTTATTGAATGGCAAATATTAATTCAAATTTTGGAATTTTTCTTGCTATTCTTGTAGCTGAATCACTTGGTCTTCATTTGGGTGCAGCATTCAAAAATTTACAACATGCAATCACAGTTGCAACTGTACTTCTCATTGGTTTAATGTTAGTTAGTGGATTTTTTGTTCGAAATTTACCACATTGGTTAGGTGTATGGGGAAAATGGTTATCATTTTTAAAATATGCATATGATGCATGTCTGCAATTACAATTTAAAGGTGGACGAATTTATAAATGTGTCGATGGATCAATCATTTCTTCATGTCAAAATAATCCCAATGGTATATTTGTTAGTCATGAAGCAATAGAATTTTTTGATGTTGGACTTAATATTGGATTGAATTTTCTTGTTCTTTTTGGAATGTTTGTTATATTTCGAACACTTCCATATCTTGCATTACGATTTATCAACAATCATACTGGTCATACATAATTTTTAATTATATATTTTTTATTCATGTACTTGAAAACTAATATATTTAATAAAATAGAAAATTTGAAATAAGATACTAATATAATTTATTTATTGTCCATCAAAATAATAGACAATCAAGACAAAAGTCAATCAATGATTGAAAGGAAAGAAAATGAAAGAGCTTAAGTACGAGTTGTACGAATGTTTAACTAATCGTTCAAAATTATTATTAGCGCATGCTAGCACTAAAAGTGGCTTAATTGCTTTTTTTTTTGTTTTTTATTCCCTTGATCGTAAAAAGCATTCTCTGCAGACTTCTTGTACGTATCTCTATTCATGATTTACCATTGCTTTACATATTAATGAGCAACTATAAATAATTTTATGCTATTCAACATAATAAGATCATCAATAGTTAGAGACTAATCAAAAATTAGTATTCATGTCAGAGGGTAATCTATGAACATTACATAGTTTTCTTTCGTTTTGATTCTTGACAAGGTTTGCAAAAGAATTCAAATTGAAATCTTTTATAGGTACGTAAAAAAATTCTAGAGTGACGTCAAAAATATCTTTTCTACATTCTATAGACATTTGCTGAGGTTACCAAATCTCTATTCAAACTTTTATTTTAATTATATTCAAGTTTTTCAAAGAAATCGAGGGTATCGATGTGAGTTTACATAAGTCTATACTAAAAGAAATTATTCAGAAAAATAATCTTTGTAAATAATCAAATGAAAAGTGAACATGTTCTATTTTTTCTGAGACGATCCATATATTGTTATATTATATTTGTTTTAATTTTAGTTCAACTTTAATTTAATAAATAATCATGGTTTTCTTCACGAATAGCTATAGTTATTTGTTTATCAGAACTAAAAAGTAATCTTTCGTCGAGTTATGCATCAACAAGTGAATATTCAAGTTTGTAACTTTTCACGAGTTCTGAAAAGTAAACTATACATAATTTTTTTCAATTAGTTTTCTTCACTATTTTCACTTGATCTGGAATTAATACCATAGATACATGTTTTGCCATTCATTGTATCCCTAAATAACGACATTTCGATGTGACCTATGATTAATTGTTTATTAGTATTAAAGAAAGCATCCCAATTAGATATTAATTTATGAACATATTAAATAGATCCAATTGTAAACTCTTTTTCGACTCAATATCTTGTTATTTCACAGCAATGATATACATAATGAAGACAACATGAATGATTTACAATACAATGAAATGGATTTAATAAAGAATAAATAAATGATACAGGATATTCATGATATTATCTCGAATAACACAGTTCAATTATTACTTTGTATCAAAACCAATTTCATTTTACAAATATTATCCGTAAGTAAAATTTCCAATAAAACTATGACTCGTTCTTCTTATAATTGACGACACGTAATCCTTCATATGATAGTAATAACGATAAGAAATCATACGAACAAAATTAGCTAAAAATGTGCTGTTGATTGTAACAAACGACGAGATTTCAATGAATGTTTGTGATGATTACAATCAATATCGATATGAATCTGCAATTTTCTATGTTGAGATGAGAAGTAATGTTTATGTCGACAGTCATTATTAACAACTGATATATATGTGCTACTACATATGGATCGATAAAAAGAAAATAGAATACATCAATCTTTGAAAATATATACGTAAGATCTATTTAAATGTTACGTAAGTAATTTATTTTAGGTTTAAAAACATAATCTAATAAAACCTGATACATGAAATAAATAGAATTCAATGATAAATAACTCAAGAAATCAATATCTATTAAAAATTGTGTTTCATAAAATATAAATAAGGTCTAGCAACGAAAAAAAAAATAATTTCATTCGTATTTCTATTGCTTCCTGAAATATTTGAAATCATCACACCCTTAGAATTCTTTTTTCTCTTAGTTCTATTTTTCTATCAAAACTAATTTCGATATAACTTTATGAAAAGAAATTCTAGTTCTTAAGCTATATGGATCACAGAAATTTATACTCCTTTGTATTGATTTGCAATTCGCTAATGGCATCTTCTAGTTGTTTCTTTTTCTATTGTTGTAGTTTATTCGTCTAAGTTTAATTTTTTCTTAAAAACAAAATTTTGTTCTTTTTTTCATAAATTCTTCGATCAGTTTTCGCTTGTTCCTTGTTATTAGCATATAAGATAAATCCAACCGATCCGATGAAATAATCCTGGATTAGACTAAACTTCTTTTCAACTCTAACTACTACTATAGAGCGTGTAAAAGAAATATGACTATAGATTTGATTGAAAGAAAAACAAACGGGTGTAAATATATATTATTTTCATCTTCGGAAAAAATAATTATGATCTATATATATATACACTTCAATGAAATAATATTTACAAAAATAATCATATAATTCATGTTTATAGTTCACCAAAGAAATTGAAGAATATTTAAAATTTGTTCATCGATTATCAAATCTTCGTTTTCTTTGTCTATAATCATATTATCTTTTTCATAGCAAAAAAAAACACACACACACAAAAAGAAATTGTTCATCTTAAGTTGAAATTGAAGTTTATTGATTGACCATTAACAATAATAGATACATTGATATGGCAAACTTAACTAAAGCTAAATGATGCCAATCGACAAAAAAAAAAATATTTCCCTTGCCTACGTGCTTCCTGTAAAAAGAACAAGTCAATCAATATTCTAGTCATTGTTTATTTAGATAATTTGAAGTGTAAATAACAGACATTTTATTGCTGATATAAACAGTAATGAAAATAATATAAATTTTATTTTAAACAAATCTTTTAGTTTTTCGAATCTCTTTTTTTCTTCTTTCTTATTCAAGATTAATAAAAAAATGTGAGTTTCGTTTGAAAAAAAAAACAGAATTCTAATTATGATATTTTCTACACAACTAACGAATTCATGAGAATGCAAAATAGATGCTAATCGAAATGCATGGACAATCATAATCATATTCATTTCATGACTTGTCAAATATATAAGATTGCTTAGATTTCAGTTGATGTTTCCATCTGTTCTTTGTCATTAATTCAACGAGTTATACAAAAGAGCTCGTCTTCATACAAACAAATAAATAAATTTATATATATATACATATATGTATATATACAAATTCGAATCGAAAACGTAAATGATATTAAGATGATAGCTGAGAACAAGAATCGTTGCAATATTACTGATAATCATTTGCATAGAAATTAGAGATATCAGACAGTAGAAAGACAAATGTCTTTTTGCTCGCCTCATTTCCGCTATCAGCAGCAGCAGCAGCATCAGTATTAGAAGAAATGATGTGTATGTAACGAGTACTGTTGGTTTGTTTATTCGAGTTTCTCTCAATCTCTCTATGCTTCTTTTCCTTCTTTTCATCAAATACAGATAGATCTCAACCGATCAATGACACATGTGTGTGTGTGTCTCTACGCATGTATGATAGTTCTATGCTCAGTTGATAATATTTCGCAATTGACATTTACTTCGCTCAAATGCTTTTTCTCCCCTTCTTAGATTGACATCGATATCCAACGTCCCATTGATTTATTGATATTCCAGCTTTTCCTACTGTTGTTCTTGCTACTGTTCACGACAACAATGGTTAATCATCTTGATGAAGCAATAGGACCTTTGTTTTACTGAACAGTTGTCATTTTCTTTTTGTTTTTATCCCTTCGGCGAATAGTTTAATATCATAGTCTCGTCTCTAGTATATAAAATACCGGAAGGAAGAATAGTAAAATGTCAAGTTTTCTCTCTCTCTTTTTTTTTTCTTTTATTCGATACATAAAGCCTACGGGTGTTCCATGTCCACAATCTAATGAAGACAGATGAGAATCGTCAGAAAGTCACAAACATACGAAAAACCGTTTCTTTCTTTTTTTTTTCTTATTTCTACTATTCATCCCGCCTCTATGTTATACACACACACACACGCATTGTGTATCTATGTTAATTAATTGATATATACTTTTATGCTCGACAGTTCGCCAAGGTAATTTCGGGAAAGAAAAGAAAAAAAAGGCATCATTAATTAGCCTTTGTCTTCGTTTATTTTTCTTTCTATTGAACTTTATCGATTAAAAAAAAACATATATGACCTCATTATTATGAATACTCAATGAAAAATCATTGTTCGCAATCAAATTTGTTTCACAGAATTTATTTCTTTAACATTAAAATATAAATGCATCAATTAGACGCAACTATATACTACTTTACAATGTTTTCTCATGCCTAGATTCTTCTCTCGTCTTATCTTTCTCGTTCTATTACGAAGTATTTGTGGCACACCATCACACCAGTTAGACATTATAATGCTGAGAATTGACTATTCACACTAGTAACATTGTATTTCTAACAATTTTTAGATACTATGTTTTTTTTTGAAAGAGTACTGTGAAGTGTATTTCATGTTATTTTATTAAAAATTAGAATAGATGCATTCTTTTTTTCGTCTTCTTTGTCTATATATCTCTTTATTCGAGATTTTTCCTTTTGTATTAACTAACACTTTTATTGTCTTGATAGAAGGATTGATTGCTTGTCTATCATGCTGAGTATTGATCGTTGAAATATAGAAACGAACGAAGAGAGAAGAAAAAAAAAAGAAAGCAAGTAAAGATTGCTTAGTTTATTGATCGAGTGCTCATTCGTTGATGATGTCTTTCTCCTTCTCTTTCTCTATCTCTCTCTCTCTATCTATCTTATTCTATCTCTCTAATTAATAACGAGATGCAGATTCGATCTTCTTGTCTATGCGACTGATTGACTTTAGCTTATCTGTTGTGCAACTACAAACAAGTTATATTGTCCGGCAAAAAATAAGGCATAAGTTCTTTTACTAAAACAGACAACGAGTCAACGTAGATAGGATTGGTAAGGTTATATATGGATAATAGCTTATGTAATTTAATTTTCATTTCGCCATATAAATGTTTATCTAGCCACTTTTCTATATGACTCTATATGCCTATTATTCAAGTTTCATATACGCGACAACTGTTGATATTTACTTGACATACTCTTTCTTCCACTACGATCTCAATTGATTCTAGAAAGAGAGAATTTGATAGACATCGAGAAATAAAGATTTGATGCGTCGGCTTAGAATATTGTGATCAATGAAGGAGAAAATTGTTAGCGATGATTAACAATTCTATTGTTTGTCACTCGATGTTTTATATTTTTATATATAGTTAAACAATGTTTTGTCTATTCTATTTTCATTCGTTATCGATGTCATATTAAATCCATCGCCAACATCATTAACAACATTCTCTTTTAGAAGAACCGTGAAAATGATGTAAATTTCCGTTTTTCCTCTTCGTTTTTTTCTCTATTTTTACTTTTTTTTAATCTTTTTTATGTCGAACAATCATGTTTACCTGTGTAACGCATCAAATAAAGGCAAACATACTAAATAATACAACGGTTGCAATAGAATAGGAACACAAATGAGAACTATAATAACTATTTCTGATTGTCTATATTTATATATTCACATCCTGAAACAATTGTTTCATTGGCTTTCAAACACCTCATAATCACTCCTAAGGCTATATTATGAGATGAATACAACATCTTATGAAAGATTTACGTTTCTTATCATCATCATTAGATGATGAGATGAGATCGATCAAAAGAGATAGAAGCAAACATAGAGTGTAAGCATGCACACGATATCGACAGCACTTGCTTTACAGTTAGTGTCACTATCTATCGAAGCAACAGAAAGACAGAAAGAAAGAGCGTTGCCGAAACGAGTCGAGAAAGAGAGACAGAGACAGAGACAGAGACAGAGACAGAAACAGAGAACAGTGTCGAAGCACAAAGAATTTCATTAGAATGACGACGCTCGAGATGCGCGCTGCTTGTGTTTATGTGTAGGGTTGAGGAGCGAGCAAAAAGAAAGCTGTTGCGTTGTTCGCATCTTTCTAATGCGCGCAGTTGCGTTTGCACGCGTTGATGATAATAAGACGACGAGGACTGAAAATAAATCATATGTAACCATTATTTGCAGCGTTTGACTCGTTAATATGTGTGTATGTCTGTGTGCAAAGACAATCTTGACTAATAGTTCTTCTTCCTCTTTACTATCGTTTAATATCATAGTAATAAATTCTTTCAGTTCGTATTTTTCTTTCTTACACACTTTATTATTATTCTATTCAAGATCAAATAAATTTAAGAAAATCTCATTAAAAAAGAAAAAAAGAATTTTCAAATATTAGTGAACCTTTTCTTTTCTTTTCTTTTTTTTGTTTTATTATAATTAAAGTCTACCTATATATGTATACGTTCGTATAGTTAACTTTGTGCCGGTGTGGCTACTAAGTATTGTCTATTGTTATTATTATTATTATTTGACACCGTCCAAATGTCGCGCGCTATACAACGTCTCATGAAAGATTATCGCAAAGCAGAAAAGTTAATAGGCCATGCAACAAATGAATCATTTGTGGATTTTACTAATTCAGCTTCATTTACAACACAAACAATGGTACAAATACGACGAGAACCAGAATTAACACAAGATGAAAAAAAATTTCTTGTTGCTGTTGAACGTAAGTTTTAATTGTAATAGATAAATAAGCAAACAAATCTATGATGCCACTTGAGCATCATCAACAAATTCTCAAGTATATCTCTCCGACATATATTATTAAAGTAAAACATTGACAAGAAAGAAAATTAAATTTTCTATTTTTAATTAATATATCTATATACATATATATATATATAAATATGTATCTTAGACATGGTTTAAAATGTTTTTATGCAAATAAAAAGGAACAAAAAACAAAAAAATTTTTTTGTTGTTCGTCTTAAAGTACAACTCGAATAGTGATGTGTTGTGTCAGCTGCTGCAACAGCTGATATAAATATAGCATAGCATCTGTTGTTTTTATTTCTTGAATAGTTATAAAAAAAAAAGATAGGTCGATTAATGCTATGCTTGTTTTATAGGTGGTGATATGGCTACAACTCGTCGATATCTTGCTATATCAACAGGAACACCAGCAGCGTTACTTGATGTTGACATGCCGATGACACCAATAAATATTAATTGTCTTGATCCATTAGGCCGAAGTGCACTTTCCATAGGTTTAGTTTTTATAATTTAAATATAAATGTATATATATTGTTTTACTATTTAATTTTTATTTAATCTAGCAATTGAATATGAAAATATTGAAATGATTGAATTATTACTTAGTTATAATGTTGACACAGGTGAAGCTTTATTACATGCTATTGATGAAGAATTCGTTGAGGGTAAAATAACTATTAGTTTATAGTTGATTAGATAATCAATGCATAATCATACTCTTGACAGCTGTCGAATTACTTCTTCAACATGAAGATCTAAAACAACAACAACAAAAGAATAACATTAATGCAGATAACAATCGAGTAAGTCAGTTGTGCTTGTCTATTAAGAATGAAAAGACATCGTAATATGTATGTCATATATCATAGATTGATAGATTTTTATCGATGATCAATTAGTTAAAATGAAATAAAACATTCGCAAAATACACACACAATTATTTCCAATAGTTAATAGTTATTCTATAAAAAGAAAAACAATATCAAATACATTCAATGCTAATATATGATTAAATTAAATTGTTTCAGTTCTATACTATAGAGAATTGGAAAACAATTTTCTGCTTCATATCTTTTGTAATAAATAAATTCTATTTGGTTCGATTGAAAAGTTATTTTATATTTATCAACATAAATTGATGAGACACATAGACAAAACTAAGAAAACAAAAAAAAAAAAAGAAATATATATATATATCTTTTGGGACCAAATTAATGTTGATCAGAAAGATTATTATGCAGAAATATTCAGAGAAAAAGAGTCATATTTCTAATAACGAAATAAATTTTATATTTTTTTCTTTCAATTAAGTATCCAAATAATATGGGCATAATTGATAAATCTAATCCATTATTTACTTTGGCTCAAGATGCATTAGAAAAAGAGAAAAAAGAACAACAATATGATATTACTCAAAAGGTAAGCCAAAGTTTTTTGTACAAGTTAGTTGAATATTTTTTTCTTACATTGCGTGTGTTAATAAAAATGCATGATTATTAAATAAATATATGTATATATATATATATATGTATATGTATATGGGGAGTATAGTTAAAATTGGCTTGGTCTTACTTTCGTCCATCAAAGCCAAATCTATTGTCGTCGACACAGAATGGTAGCACTGCGGATGATCTTGAGGTGGGTAAAGTGATTAAATGTTAACCGAATAGATAAAAAAAGTAAAACTTCAATCAACAATTACAACCCGCCTTCTCTATTCCTTGTAAATGCCAAATCTTCTTTATCCAATTCATATCAGTTATCTTCTGCTTGGAAAAGTCATCAATCAATTTATATACATATCTTTTATCATACAATATATTGTGCTTATTGTATTTATTTACAACTGTATTCATTTTTTGTAGTATTAATAGCACTACAAGCATGTACAAGCCCTTTATTGTTGAGCACGCCTATTTCAACTTCTATATTTTAATATTTATTTATTTATTTATTTATTTATTTATTTGCTATGTCTAGTTATACATTGAAAACGTATCTTTCTATTTCATAATTTCTTCATTTTTCTTTGTTTTTCCTTTCCTACTTGTTATTTGTTTTTAGAATTCGAAATCTAAATGGTCATTTCTCCTACAGGCAGTACGAAAAAAGGAGCAGCAGCAATCGGTAGGCGTTATGCCCGCATAAAAAGCGAGAATTAAAAATTTTCGTCTTCTTTTTCTTCTTCTTCTTCTTTTCGCTCATGACGTGCATGAATAGAATAATTTTACAAAAAAAAAAAAATTTTGATGATCGTTGTTGCTGCCAGTATACTTAGACGCACCTGCTCATTTTTTTTTTGTCGCACATACATCTATTCACATAGTCATTGTTCATAACACATATATTATTTTCTTTTCTTTATGATTTGTTGTTCGCTTTACTTCTTTTTTTTTGTTATTTATATTCACGCAATCCATAGAATGACGATTGAATTCTATCCTTGAGATATGTCAAATTATTATTAGAAAATAATTTATTTTCATACAAACATAAACAAAAGAGAATAATAATAACAACAAAAAAAAATCTAACCTCATTATTATTATTTTTTCACCAAGTTTCTTTTTGGTGTGCGTGAGTGAATGAATATGTTCGTATGTGAATGTGTTTGAGTAATTAGATTCCTTTTTCTTTTATTATTTTAATTGAGCACGACAACAATCTTCATGTCCATATTAATAAAACCTCTAGCATACCTTAGTATAAAATAAAAATATCATGAATGGCATCCAGTAGATATTTAATTAATAGTAATTAGTATTTACTATATCAATGTAGCTTATATTTAAGCAAAAAAAAACATTTCTCTGCACAATTCCTAGATGTTTGTGTATGTATATGTATGTGCGTGCGTGTATTTTAATAATTCCACAATAAATATGATTATGTATATATAGAATGATTTATATTATATTATATATATATTTAGGTGCATGAACAGCTTAATTTGAGTACATCTCGCTCGTATACACCTGATATTACACCTGTTATATTAGCTGCACATCGAGATAATTATGAAATACTTAAAATTCTACTTGAAAGAGGTAGGAATATGATTTTTGTTTTTTCATTGAATATATGAAGAAAAATTATATTGAATAATAAGTTTTTCTCGAAAAAAAAAAAGGAAAAAAAAAACATTTTCCATTCATTTACCGTATTCTAAACAAAAAACACTTTTTGAAACTTATCATTTAATAATTAAGAGAGTATTGAAAAATTCACTTGTAATCAATCATTTCTCTTTTTTTTGCTGTATTGAAGGCGAGAAATATATCGAAGAAGTTTCAATTGAGTTTTAAACCAATTCATTGCTCTTATCAATGAATAGAAGATAATTAAGAATGAACTCAACTTTTAAATATATAAAGAAAATGATTCAACAAGATTTATTTTCTCATGTTAATCGCTATAAAGAGTTCAAACAGTGGTTTGAGTAGAAAAATATATAATATATACAACAGAATGATTAGCAAATTCCCAAAGGCGAAATTTCCAGACAATCAATTGCCTTAGAGTTTTAGCACATAAAATGTCAAAAAAAAGATTAATTCTATTTGAACTTCAGGAAACAATAAAGTAAACAAAAGTGAAATATCTCTGAGCTCGGGATGAAATTTTTTCAGTGTCAAATTCTCAATCAAAAAAGGAACATACAGAACTTACTCATGTCTTATATTGTAGAGCCCAGTTTGCTCTATCAATTTAGATAGTTTGAATAAGATTTTATTAGTATCATCCAGGTATTGAAAAATGCCGTCTTCAAATAGTAATTGATGTAGAGACTTTTCTAAAATGAAAAGGATTGTTAGTTTTTCAAGGATAGAAACTCTGAATAACTGAAAGTTAAGTTTTTCATCTCCTAGAAATCTGCTTGAACCACTTAGAATGATAAAATAAAAAATTTTCTATCAAGTGAAACGTTTCCCAGGTGTCTATAATGTTTATTGACCGAGATACATCAATTTAAAGAAATGCAAAAGAATGATGTTTTTATACGAAGTAGCTAAAAAAAAACCACTTTTTATGTGTTCCGTGAGATTGATGTATTTCGGTCAACAAATGTTGTAGACAGCTGAAAAACGTTTCATTTTGTAAAGAATTGTTTATTCTATTACTCTATGTAGTTCAAACAAAAGCTAAAAGAGATTAAAAAACAATGGGTTTCGCTTGTTCAGGTACTCTCCGTTGGAAAATGAGCAGTCGTTCTTATCATCGAAAATTTTCTACACATATAACTATTTGAACTTTTATACAATAGTAGAAAAAACATTGAAAATAATTTTCGATATTACTATATATGATTTAATTACAAGTTGCTATTACTCATACTGACTTCATTCTTTCTTTAATTCATTTATTCATGTAATTTAAAGAAATTTAGATTATATGGTTTAATGTATCTGATATAATACTAGAATTATTTTTTTATTAGATTTAGCCTTAGGGAATTCAAACAATTCATGTTATATGTCATCAAGGTTTTCTTTTCCGAAGGGAGTAAAGCTGATCTATAGGTTTCATCTTTATCGTAAATCAAAACATTTGATTCTCGAGATAATTCAATTGAATTTCACATTATCTATAATGCCCATCTAACCTATGAGTCAGAAGCTTTAAGACAATATTTATTTAGTTTTGACTACTTCGAAAGTACAACTAATGAGATGATCAAAAGTTTGAAAGGAAAATTTATCATTTTGTACAGCAGAAGATACTCTACAAAATGTATTGTTAGCGTTTTTCTTTATAGATCACGGCAATTTTCGTTTCGCTTAAATTAGGACATGGTATTGACAAGTAGATCAGTCTGTGGACAAAAGTTCAAATTGAAATACCGTCATTTGATTCGTTGGCATTTACCATGTCCAAAGCTAAAATTTCAGTTAAATACCTCTAACTCTGAGCAAAAGGCGTAAGGTCACTTATCTTTTTGAGGTTTTTTATATCTCACTTGGATCTGTTGAAGGTTATTTCATCACTCTCTAACACAAACTGTGATAAGTTTTCTAAATTCATATTCAGATGATGACAGTATGCTAATTCTAATCCATAGCTTTTGACTGCTCAGAAACACTTTCAAAAGAGTCAAAAAATAAACAAATATTTAAATCTCAATAAAATATTATAAATAATTTGAATTCTGTTTTTCTTTTTCGTATAGGAGAAAAAGTTACGGAACCTCATGATGTTCGATGTGATTGTTCAAATTGTATTGTATATAATAAAGAAGATAGTTTAAGACATTCACGATCACGTATAAATGCATATAAAGCATTATCATCACCATGTTATATATCATTATCAAGTCGTGATCCAATAATGACAGCATTTGATTTAAATCGTGAATTAAAACGTTTATCACGTATTGAAAATGAATTTAAACAAGAATATGAACAATTAGCTCAACAATGTCAAGAGTATAGTGCTGCTTTATTAGCTGAAACACGTTCATCAAAAGAATTAGAAATTATATTAAATTATGATTCAGAAAATCCACCAGTATTATCAGAAACAACAGAAAAAATGCATTTATCAAGATTAAAATTAGCTATACGTTATAAACAAAAAAAAGTAAAACAATAATAAAACAAAAAAACAATTTTTTAGTTTTTTTGTTATTTTTATTTTCTTAAGTTTGTTTCACATGCACATTGTCAACAATTACTTGCTTCATTATGGTATGAAGGTTTACCTGGATTTCGACGTCGTCATTCAGTTATTAAAATATTAATAACAACATTGGTTGGTTTACTTTTTCCAATATTATCAATCGCTTATATATTAATGCCACGTAGCAGTATTGGTCGTATTATGCGACAACCATTTATTAAATTTATTTGCCATTCTATTTCATATATTTTCTTTCTCAGTATGTATTTTTATTTATTGAAATAAAATATGTTTAAATAGATGCATTTTATTTTTTTGTCTTAGTTTTACTTTTTGTTGTTTCATTACGTATTGATTTTGGTAAATTATTATCAGGTATTGAAGAAGAAACAAATGAAAGGCGTGGTCCACCACCAAATCCAGTTGAAATAGCTGTAAGAAATAGATAATGATATTAATTAGTGCGATATTTCTGTTGTTTTTTTTTGTTATTATTTAAGATAATGTTTTATGTTGCCGGATTTATATGGGCAGAAATAAAACAACTCTATCAAGAAGGATTACATCAATATATGGTAAAAAAAAAGAAACCTATTTATATGTTATTTATATATAGAATATTCTTCAATGCTAGGCTGATACATGGAATTTATTGGATTGGATTACAAATTGTCTTTATGTAGCTACTATAGTTCTACGAGTAATGGCTTATATTAAAGTAAGTATAAATAATTTATATTTGAAATCTGAGATAAAAACAACTAAAAAAATTTAACCTTGATAGAGATATTCTTATTGATGAAAACTATTAAATATTTGAGTTTAAAATACTTCAGAAAACTTATTAGATTAATCTACTGATATATATTTATCATGATACATGGATGACTTAGGAGTGTTTGTGATATATTATTAGCAGATTACTTTTTGTTTACGATATTAATCTGTTTTTATCTGATTAGTTCTTATTTTTATTTGTGTTAAAATTAAAATAAAACAGACAATTAATAAGAATCAATTTGAAAGAAAAAACTAATTTTCAACTAATAATCTCTTCTGATATTTCATCGTTTATTGAACTAAAATCAATCTTGGATTAAGACATTTCCTATGTGATCCAAATCGGACAACAACCAACGATAGATCATTTGGTATAATGCGCACTATAACGGCGATAGTGCGACATGGATTCTATTTACAGGAAATATTACACTAGAAAAGTATGTCAAAAACGATCGAATGCAGAAAGGCCAGAAGGAAAAATTTCGGAATCAAAAAATGTTGTATCTAGTAAATGTTGCCTTTAGGCATCTATTGTTTATCATTGCTTTTCTCATTATTCTATCAGTTTGTATCTATAACCAATAGTAACAGTAATGAATAATATCTGATAAAGATTAACTAAAATAATCGACCAAATAAATCTCATAAGGATTGTACTAACAGCTTTTCCTAATCCTTACTTTGCACATCTCTAGTATTATTTCAAACAAATATATATAAAATTAATTCTAATTTAGGTCAATCAAGAAGAACGTGATCTTCAAAATAAATCAATACCAGTCCCTGGTCCTCATAATTCATCCGGTGTACCTCATACACATAATCATAATTTAACGTCTGATTCAGATATTTCAACAGGTCATAATGTACGACGACGAGATTGGAATGCATGGGATCCAACATTAATATCTGAAGGAATATTTGCTGCAGCAAATATATTTAGTTCATTAAAACTTGTTTATATATTTACAATAAATTCACATTTAGGACCATTACAAATATCTTTAGGACGTATGGTACATGATATATTAAAATTTAGTGTTTTAATATTACTTGTTGCATTTGCATTTGCATGTGGTCTTAATCAATTATTTTGGTATTATGCACGAATGAAAAAAAATGAATGTGAACAAGAAGCAGGATTTGATGAATATTGTGCAAAAGAAATTCATAAACATTTTTCAAAGTAATTTATTTATTTATTTATTTAATATATATATATATATGAGTGAATTGCAACTTTTTCGAACGATTGAAATTTTAACTGTATTTGACTAATATGTTATTCATATCTGAACATTCCCGACTATCATCAAAAATTTCAGCTTTCCAGCTAATACTATCGCTGATTTATAAGAGATATATTACAAAAAGAAGCGTCATATTTTTGCTGACATGTGCAAACAAATGTAAATCTTTCGATTGAGGAAAAAAACAAGAGCAAAACGATGTAATGAGTCTATTTTGTATAACATTCGACTCTCTATCAAAATATCCAACTGATTTAAATATCATTTCTTTGTTCGATGTCTACAATGCTTGACAGACACTTTTCACCTTTCATGTAGGGTGACATGAACTTATTTCTAGCTCTATCTATTATAGAATTGACAATACGTAGCCTACATGAAAAGCAAGAGAATCTTTTCTGTAACGAACTAATAAACAAATCTTTTCTCTTATCAACTTTATTATGAAAAAAGATAGTAACGCTTTCGAGAAACAAAAAAAAAGTCATAATACTGAATTTGTAGAGTGACGATTTGAAAATTATCTACTGTACAATAAAGCATTCTATTTGTGGTAAAGATTTCAACTCTCAATCTTGTACTCTATTTAAGAGAATTTTACATTTACAATTTAAATGAACAGGTTACAACAAGTAGATTGGATTGTGTTGTAACTTTTTTGACTAGTGTCTTTGCGTACAGAGCTGAAAAATGACTCCAATCTTTTTAATGAATAAAGTCAATTTTATTATTAAATTAAGTAGAACTTAAACTATACAATGTGGAAACATTCAATTGAAATGTTAAAATACTTTTACCACTTGTTGCAAGCATAGAGTATAATACAGAGTTCTATGGGATAGATTTTTTTTGTCTCCCGAAGGATGTGAGGGACTAAACAAATTCGGGACATCGATTGTCTTCTATATTTTCTCAAATTTTAATTGTCCTATTTTCGAAAAGTTTGAATTTCATAAGCTTTACCCACGAAATGGAACTTTTCGAGACTCAGAGCTATCTTGTAGAACTCTAGTATAATCAAATATACTATTGAGAAATCGTTTAGATCTACTTCCAGTTTTTCATACAAATCGTACTAAAATGTTGTAATTCGTTCATAGATGTATACATATATAATTTCTTTTCAATAGTCTTTTTGAATCTTTGCAAACACTGTTTTGGGGTACATTTGGTTTAATTGATTTACAAACATTTCAAATATATAAAAAACATACATTTACAATGTTTATTGGTTTACTTATGTATGGAGTGTATTCATCCATAATGATTATTGTTTTACTCAATATGCTTATTGCTATGATGAGTAATTCGTATCAATATATAGCTGTATGTTTTGTGTCGTAGGTTTTTGAAAATATACTTATTGTTTTTATTTTATATATTTAGAATTCAACTGAAACGGAGTGGAAATTTGCACGGTAAACAAAAGAAAAATCTTTTTTTTTTGTGTGTATAGTGTTTCTTTGTTGTTTTAGTGCAAAACTTTGGATAAGTTATTTTGAAGATGGTGGTACTTTACCACCACCTTTTAATATTGTTCCAAGTCCAAAATCAATTTGTTATGGATTTGTATATATGTATAGCAGAGTATTTGGTTGTTCAAAAACACATTTAAGAAATCGATGGCAAAGTATTAAGGTATAGTTGTTTTTTGAATTTTTCTAAGTGACCTTAGTTACCCTGTATTCGATGAATTGATTTGTTGGAAAAATATTATAATAATAGAAGATTGCAAGCTGATGCATCAGTTTTTGAGATTAGTTTTATATATGCTTAGATGGATTCGTAAACACAATAAAGGTCTCATCTTAGTAAGTCTTTCTTTATGGAATTGTTCAATAAAATGTTTTGATCCTCTTCAGCATTGACTCTCAAATTCAAACATTGCATAAATAAAGTTCTCAATAAGGATACTTCATTGTATAAGCATTCGATTTTAAGATGTCATTGTTTGCTCTTATATTGATATTTCAGGATATTAGATACTAATAGGAAGTAGAAAAATTTTAGAATGAATTAACCTCATTGAGAACTTTATTGATGCGACATTTGAATTCAAAAGTCAATTTTTGAATGTAAACTAAGGAGAATACTAGATTTTGTAAATCGATGTTCACTTTTCATCTTCTTCCAGATAAATTTCATTATATATAAACACAAAGTTAGATTATTAAAAAACCTAGTAGCTCTTTACAGTAATGTATCTCATCTAAGTTTCAATTAATATAGTCACGATGATTTTACTTTTCGGATCTCGATATTACTCTAGAGAAAAATATTCCAGAATCTATTTGTATTACATCTAGAAAATTTTCTTCAATACTCATTTTTTTTTTTTATTCACTGAATCGACGAATAGTACTTTTTCGCTCATTTCGTTTGAATTATGTTCTTAGCTGAAAACCATAGAATATTTAACTGTAATTTTTAGTTTCGGTTGGGATAACTTTTTTTTCTCGTAGTCCCAGCTTTGGTCTCAGCAACTTCTACTGAGAAGGATTCTGTTCATGATGGGTGAATAAGTACATAGCTTCCGTCTAATTTAATTAGAGGAGAAAATATATATCTGTGAAAGGATGCCAGACAACTAGATTACATTATATCATTTGAATAGAGAATAGAACAGCTAAATAGGTAATATCAATGTAGTAAAAAAAAAGAAAAAAAAATACAACTATAGAAAATTGGTGGCAGTAGGTTTCATCACCAACATTTTTTCAGCATTCATTTCACAATATTATTTGTCAATGAAGCATAGGCGCTGCTCTAGACCAACGATAATTTTATTCTTATTCTGTGGTGTTCTCCATTATAATTTAGACCCATTAGTTAAGAGTATCATCGATCTGGAGAAGCCTCCAAGAAGAGATAATGAAAAATTACTACTCGAAAAACTTAATGATTAAAAGTACTTTTTTCTCGCAGAGAGAAAAATATGATCTATAGCAGCATGGAAGAAATTGTGTATGACAGGCGGAGACTGCAACATTGTGGTTCCTGTCAGGGTGTAAAATTTGTCAATGTGATTCCTGGTCTGAGGAATTAAGTAACTGAATAATTCTAGAAAACTTGTTTTTTTTTTTTCTTTATAAATTCTAGAAAATAATCAGTAAAATCAATGAACGTGAAATAAAATATCAAACTGTCATACGTGAATTAGTTAAACGTTATATAATGAAACGTCAACAAAAAGATCAAACTGAAGGTGTAACAGAAGATGATTTAAATGAAATAAAACAAGATATTTCAGCATTTCGGTATATAAAAATTGATTAATAAACTTCTATTTAATGTTGTATAATTTTTAGTTTTGAATTATTGGAAATTTTAAGTACTAATGGATTTAAAGTACAATCAATGAAGAAAAATCCAGGTTTGTAAATATATATATATATAGAGAGAGATTCATATTTAAAATTTCTTTAAAAAATATCTTAGACACAGGCAAATTTGAACCAGTAGAGGAAACTATAAGATGTGAGAATGTTTGCTGTGAAGACTTTTGCATGATTTTTTTTGTGTCTATTTTCATCGAAAATCTTATCTTAAATTTTTTTGTAATTCTAGCTGCACGTGTTGGTCGAAAACGTGGTAAAATGAATTTAGAAAAAACAATTAATAAAAATATGTTTGATATGTCAACATCTATACGTGATAAAAATCCATTAGAAACATCTGATTTAATGAAAAGTGATCAATCTGATACACTAACAACACCATTATCATCTATATTATCACATCCAAAACAAAAATTAACAGCACAATTTAAACGTGCTATAACAATGATTAAACAACGAAGTGAACCAGCACGTGAATCATCTCCAACACAATTTCAAACATCAATATCATTAACAGAAAAACCAACTAATTCATTCGATTCAAGTTTTTTAACAAGTTTAATTGAAGAAACACCACATGATAATAGTTCTCTTTCATCAAGAGAAATTTTATCATCAAAATCACAATCATTTGGACAGATTAGACCATTAATAATACGTTCATCATCAAATCAAGATACAGATTCAAGTAGTACAACAGCTGCTACTGTTGTTGCATTCGATCAAACAACACGAATAAATAATCAAAGTCAAAATACATCATCATATAGTATTAAATCAAATTCACAGAAATCTCAAACATCTATAATTCAAACAGTAAATCAACAATCTGCAACACCACAATTATCATCATCATCTTCAGCTACATTAAGTCCAACACCAGCATCATCAACATCAGTTACAGGTGAAATAGCGATTTTCGAGACAATCTTGTAATCAACTATTTCTTTCCTACTTTCTTCATATACACTATGCATATACTATTTTCATATTATTCGCCGATGTTTCCTGACATTATGTAAGTGGTATGCTGTGCTCCTAGAGGATATGTCTTACTGATAATAAGTAAAAAGCAAAATAGATAGGACCCATCAGTTTGATCTTAAAGCTGACCAGGGTCTGAAAATTTTGAACGCGACGGACTCTATTCTTCTGAGAAATCTGTAGGATGCGCTAGTCAATGAATACAAAAAAAACAGGAAAAACTATTTTGTATCTTCCAGACGACTATCCAATTACAAGTAGAAAATTTCATTGAGAATATCAAAATTACGATTCGATCGAATCCGAAAAGTTTAGACCAGACTCACTCCATTTTTCGGTTGCTTTTATATTAAGAAAAACTTGGTAATTTTCAAACACAAGAAAAATAAAATACAGAATGAAGGTCTACCGAGAATTTCACGATGTCAAGTTAATTATTATAGACCTTTGCTTGATGAATATGTCACGAAAATATTAGAGAGATGAACTGAAAATTTTACTAATATAATCTCTTCATTACATTCTTCATATATTCTGACATTTTCATATAGTTTGAATATTCCTAGCGCAAAAGCGATGCTAAACTTTGAACTTTCCTTCAGACATTATAACTAAGCTAGTGAATGATTTTTGCACATGAACGCGCTTCTTTCTATAAATTCTGCAATCGATATGAAACTTTCGCAATATCCAGGAAGTTCAATTCGATACTCCTTGAAACAATAGGCAATATGTCATTATCCTAATGTATCAAGCATAAACTCGAAACGAAGATTCATTCATCCGTGTTATATACAAATTTTCTTTTTCAAAGAAATAAACACATAGTTTTCAAATTGCAATGTTCATAAATCCCATTGAGAGAACAAATTTAACCTTCCATAAAGCATTACTTCCTCAATTATTACGCGTAATAAAACACTATCATTAATTTTTATTTTTTCATACTTTTCTTAATGTCTTTGAGTTCAAAATCGACATACATCTTCGAAGTCTTATCTGTTAACAAGTAATTATTACTGAATGTTTGTATCCTTCATCATCTACTTCAAAATACTACTTTCTAATTCTCAATAAGTTATTGATGATCCATATTTCATACGAGTGTCCCAAGGTCACGTCAGAGTTAACAACAGGAAAGGTCAAATAGAAGTTTATTGGGAATTTATCTTCACTTGGGACACTTCTAATACTTCATGTCAACATATATTTATCTAATATAAATACTAATTGTATGTATACGAAACTCAAGCGATTAAACAAGGACAACAGTACAGCTTTGTGGCTGATTAACCTTTTGATGACTGACGATGCATATATATGCATCAGGAGGAGCTTTATTATCACATAAAAATATTGCAATTAATTATAATAGATATTTTTTCTATACATCTGTGTCAAAGGAAACGTCAAACAGTAGAAATTTTTCTCATTATCATTTTGTTACAGTTTATGTTACATTCATGCGTTAAGAAATGAAAACATGAGTGATATAAAGTTACTCTATTTTTCGTATATATATTTTTTATTAGTAATCAAAAGGTTAATAAAGAATGAGAATGAGACTCTATATTCAAAAATTTTCATTTATATTATTTTTGGTTTTTTAGGATATTTTCGATCGTTACAAGATGGTCGTGCACCAATGGCTTCTCCTGATCCACTTTCTGTAACTTCGGACGAGAGTTGTCCTACTCCTGATTTAGACGCCTTGTGATTTCAATCCGATGATGAAACAATGATTCTTTATTTTCTTTTCTCTTTGTGATATGGCTTCTTTTGTTTGTTTTCGGACAATAATGAAATATTGTTTTATGCAAATACAACATATGATGCCTCGATTTTTTCTTTATACACGTTTTATGTGTGTGTGTGCTGTGCTTCTTTGGTTTTTTTTGTGAGTTGTCCATTATCAGATAATGTATCCAATATTAAAAGTATAGATTTAATATACATCTCATGTTGGCCTTTTTTGTTCGTTTGCTATCTGTATTGTGTTTGTTTTTTTTTTTTTAAATTGACAAAAAATGAATTATTTTCACAATATGGTTATATCAGATTCAATTTATATCTTTTTATTATTTTATTCTGATCAAATGTTATATATATATATATGTGTGTATAAACCATATTTTTGATGACGACGATATATTTTTAAAGCAAAAGTCACAGACAAAACAACAGACATTTAAAAATGATTAATTAATATAGATATAGATTTATTGGAGAAAAAATGTATAATTGTCATAATTGTTGTTAACGCTGGATGTATGTCGGATATTTGTATTTGCGAAGTATTTCTATAAAAAGAAAAAGATTAAGGTTGATGTAATTGAAGTAAAACATCTTGGAAGTCTATATTCTCATAAAGAAATAATCGTATTATCGTCTTTCCATTAACCTTTTCTTGATGAGTACTTATAGATTACAATCGGTAGACAACATAATTCCAATCAGATGTGATCTCGCATGTAATTCTATAACTCATAGGAGGAATCATTCATCGAAAAAGTTGATACTCTAACCTTAGAATTAATTATATTCTTTTGCTGAGAAAATAAACTGTATAATAAGAATTATATCTTCATATTAAAAGAAGTCTGATCATGTATGAAAATCTGTCACTTCTATTTGAAACAAAATCGATTAAAGAATGCGCTTTCTAAGCATAACGTAAATCTATTTTACATACGGATTCGTTTGTTCGTTCTCAAAAAAAAAACAAAAAAGAAAACTTCAAAATAATATATTAATAGAATTTTCTATCGAACAAAATATAATTTGAATAGTTAACCTTGTGATGCATTATTATCTTGATCAAATATATCAAGGTATCGACGCCAAAGTCGTAATTTTGCCAATGTATCATGATATTCTTTCGTCTATTTAACAAATAAAAATTTATAAACAAAAATAAAAAAAAAAAGAAGAATATTCTTCAATCTTACTCGATCTGCATATCGACTAGGATCAATTAATGTATGATACTTAATTGGACGTACTGGATCCGCTAAAACATTCAAAAGTTAATTCTATATTTCTCAAAAAAGAAACAGAAATCCTATATACCTGCTGAATCTTTAAACAGTCCATATGCAGTACATGACGATAGTATAACAAGAAAAAGAAGAGAAATATATGTAAAGAAAATCAGACGATTTTCTGCCATTGATGTTTAGTATAAGAATAATAATGAACTTGTTACCTTCTAAATATATAAAATATTTAACATAATTTTATTTCGTGGATTATTAAACATGATTGACATCTATTAATTATTAGCTGTCTATTGTTATTGACATCTATTTAGTCATGTAAATATTCTTTACATTAAAAACTTAAAGAAAATTATATGAAAGACATGTATGTAATAAAATATGTCATGCGATAATTTTCTGACAGATACATATAACATAATTCATAAGTGTGAAAAGATAAGTTGTTTTCGTTTTTTTTTTTATATCTAAATATTTTACGTATACATCTATCAAGACATATGGAAGTGACAGCATGAAAGTCTCAGCTGGTGAAATGACATTGTCATCTGATTATAGAGTCACTATATTCTGTCTAGGCTTTACTGTTGTGTCATTAATAATCAATAATAATCTTCATGGCATATTGTTAATTGACTACTAAATGCTTATCGAACTTAATTCTCTGGAATGTTAATAAAATTGTTTTCAATAGAAATTTATTCATAGGAATTTTTTTTACGGTTGACAAGAATATTCGATTCTCATATTAGAAATATATTTTTTAAGTTAATGATGATTAAAACAAAGTCATTCATTTTTTTTTTCTAGGGTCATTAATTTCAACTCTAAAAATTTCTAATTTAAAGAAGAAATATATATAATATATGTTCTTGTGAATAGTTTAGTATAAGAATAGAGAGGTTATTCATCCAAATAAAAAAAGAAATGAAGTTTGACATTGAGAAATTTTATCATATGATAAATCGATTTTGAAATTATTCTTACATTTTATTAGATCGACTCGATTGAGATTGAAGAAAATCTAACATAATTTGTGCCTTTGAGATGAATCGTAGCAAGTTTTTCATAGCACTACTATTTTCTCATTTAGTTTACCTTTAATATTAAATTTCGAATTCAAATGTTGCATACATAAAATTCTCAATAAGATAGGCTCAATGTAAAAGTATCAAACTTCTTGGTGCTTAACAGCCTGAATTATAAATATAACAATAAAGTTTGTTTTTCTTTGCGTAGCAAGTTTTTCAATATTATTATTTTGCAATAGGAGATAATAGAAAATTGAATTTTTTTTTTTATTTCTACTAAAAATTTTATTTATGTAATGTTTGAACTCGAAAAATGATTTTGAAGACGAGTAGAACATTTTGTTGTAAAACTCATTAAAATAGTCATCATTCAAGAAGAAAGACCCATAAGAATAAATCCTTTTTTAAGCTTTCTCTAGGTCCTATATTAGAAGATGTAAAGTGATTTATCGTTTTGCAAAGTTCTTTCATCAATGTGTAGTAGAAATAACATATCCTCATATTGTCATGATTCGCTTGGCCAATAAAAAAATGAAAATAAATGACTATTTGACTAGGTATTCAATAGTCGTCTCAAATGTGTAATATACACACAACAAGGAATCATCCATGAACTTGAAAAATAAAAAAATATGCATTAGAATGATGAAATAGACATAAAAATTGATGTACTTCAATTTCATTCGTTAAAATGAACATATTCATCAATGTTATTCTATGATATTCATTATGAAATCAATTCTCAATGCATTTTCTTGATTAAAATAACATTCTAATCAAGAGAATGGAATGAAGATACTTTTGTCTTGAAAATTATAGCATAACATTGATAAAAATGTTCATTTTAATTAATAAAATTGAAGTATATTAATTTTTATATCTGTTTCATCATCGGAAATGTCATCTTTTTTGTGTTTTGAATATCAGATTCATGCAAATCATGAAATTTTTTTGTCATATTTTAATTGCATAGGTACTCAACAATTTAACTAGTGAATGAATTCAAGATGGATACACTTTATATGTCCTGACCATAATGGCATTCGGATATATGATATTAAACTAAAATGTAGAGTATTTTACGATAGAATATATAATAAATTCTTTGGATATTAATTAAATCAACACACGGGGGGAAGCTCTTCAGTTGTCTTATTCTGATTTCGATGGTGTTTTTTTTACCTATGGATACTACATAGTGTTCGAATAAAAATCGTAAAAGAATTTGAATTCCTGTTGAAAATTGACTAAGCTATGGAATGTCGATATAAAACTTTGTGCATATAGAGATCTCAGCTAGACTACGTATGTTATCTTTAGCGCCTTATATCTCAAAAATATTTTGCTTAAAACTTTGGAACTTCTTGATGGTAACTAGTCTAGTTGAGGTCTCTATATGCGCAAAGTTTTATATCAAAATTCCATAATTTAGTCAAATCTCAATAGGAATTCAAATTCTTTTAGGATTTGTATTAGAAAACAATGAAGTATCTATAAATAAAAAGAAAAAAAATTATTGAAATCAAAAAGGAGCAGCTGAAGAGATGCTCCTATTAATTTTGAAGTAGTCAGAAGCTATTCTTTATGCTTTATATCTTCCTTCGTTTGAATGTTTATGAATACAAAACTTTACTTTGTTTTGCAAAGTTCTGTAATATTGTTTTGGTCTTGATATATATGAATTTGACGAACGTTTGTTTTTAACTATTGGATGCAGAACCAAATAAAATATTCAATGTTCAACTAAATCACATTATGATGAATCACTAGTTAAATAAAATCTTTCATTTTATCAAAGATGTTGCTGTTATTTTATTACATTTTCTAATGTGTACAATTATCGCAAATAATGAACAGCAGTTTAATGTATTATCCAGAAATACTCAAGATGATGGATAGAATAAAAAATACACTTATGTTCATTTGAACAAAATTAAAATAGTCATCACGACAATAAACAAGAATATTTAAGTTCAGAGTAGGGAGATGTTCACTAATAGAGGTTTCGCTGTAAATAAAATTGGTACCAATTATATCTTTAAATTTCATTGAAATACTTTAAAGCAGTTCAATCTTGAATATTGATGTACGAAGAAATGTTCCCAAGTGTAACTTATTGTGCTATTCTAAAGATATTGAATATTCAAAAATAATCATGTATCATAAGAAAAGTCCAATGTTTTCAACATTCTATATCTTAGAAACAATACATCATTTTCGTTTCATATTTTCAAAACATTCTTCACAAGATTTACCTATGTATAAAATTTCGGATTGAAATATCTTGATTCAATTTTTCCATAAGTATCTTGCCAGAGATAAAAAAAAAAAGAACGTCAGTAAAATTGTAATCACTTGAGAAGATTAGTGCATAAGGACAAATTGTTATAGACTTTTTCTCGCCTCTTCAGAACTTACTTATGAGCAAAATATCAGTCCAATTGGCGAATTGTACATAACGAATTTCCTTCATTAGGATCGTCCGTAAAATGACGCCATTTAAAATGTGTAAATACAGAATAATTGATTGTGTTACATAAATATAGATAAAAATCCTAAATAAAATATTCAATGAGGGATGACTTACTTCCATGATAAAAATTTGGGGCACTATTGCGAATTATCTGCTTACGTTCTATTAATATCTCCTATCATATAACTTATATCATGCCATACGATAGAAAGGTATC